CTAGGGCTCGGTTAAAATGATCAATACTTATACTTTGATATTATTATACACTTAGAAAAATATTCTAAGTATAAAAATACCAATGCTTGGCCATGCTCGGAATTTACCTGAAAATTTACTCGGAACCAAACTAGGGTTCGGAGTCGATAAATTCTCGAATTGACATGCTATTATTTATCAACCCAAATTAATGGATTAATCTTAACTTATACTTGAGATAGAATTATTCAAAGAATAATTTATCATGTTTGAGCATTTAGCATAAATAATATAACTCGATAATTTCTAAAAATTACAGATTTCACTTATAGTCGAGCAGTGAAATCGTTCTGAATATTATTACTGTTTTGGGGCGTTACAGCTTCTATAAAAATTACGCACACATGCTCGAAAATGTGAAATATTGTGTGTAGGAGAAGAAGGGTATATTTGTCATTTGATTTGAAACATATAATTTTATCATATTTAGTAAATGCTTGATTGGATTTGCTCTAACATGTATCAAGTTTTGTAAACATGATATAAAAGCTGATGTGTAAAGGTGATGAGAAATCTCATCCACCAAACTAAATGAGGCCTAAAGAAATTAATTGATTAATCAAATGTTTAAAGAGATAATTGAACATAAGAAATATTTTAAGGTATGTATTCGTTTAGGATTTGGAGTGACATTTAAAGACTTTTTGAGATTTGAAATTTTTTAAGATTTCCGAATTTTGGAGATTTTTTAAGATTTTTGGATTTTGGAGAAATTATGTGAAATATTAAATCTAAAGGTGAGATTTTGAATGGAATTTCGTATATATTTTTTCCTTAAAAATCCAATAAATCTTAAAAAATTTAAACTAAACATAATCTCAAATAAATTACAAAAAAATACCTCCAGATTCTTTAAGAATTTAAAATTTCAAAAAAACACATCAAAGACTTTCAAAAATCTTAAAAAATATATAAATTAAATACACCAATTTTTCTGAAATCTTAAAATGCTTTTTAAAATTTTTTAAACATCTCAATTAAAACTTCCCAAAGTCCAAGACACATAATTAGACAACTTCTCGTGTTTGATCTCTTAACCAAAAAACTGTCGGCGCCATTAATCACGTTAAAAAGGTAACGAAAAAATGAAACAAAAGAAAACCAAACACCCCACATTGCTCCGTCTCTTCAACATTCTCACTTCCTAAACAGTACAAACTGAGAATTANCATTTCCACAGCTTTTTCTTCTCTCACACAACAGTCAATATGAACTCGTCGGAGTTCCAAACCCCCGCTAAGCCACCAAATTCCCTAAACAAATCTCTGAAATTTTTCCACACCCAATTTTCTTCCCACCCTCGTTTCTCTCTCTTTATCCTTTTCCTTTCCGCCCAATTTTTCGTCCTTTACTTTATGCGCCTTTCGCCGTCTTGCCTGAACCCCGCCGTCTCCCACCGGAACGAATGCCCCTCCGGCAAGGTGTACGTCTACGACCTCCCATCTAAATTCAACAAGGACCTGTTGCTACACAACTGCACCGACTTAATCCCCTGGAACTGGCAGTGCGGCCTGGTTCCCAATCGCGGCTACGGCGGCCCCGCCGTCGAGCTCCGCCGCCTCCTGCCGGAGAATTTAGCCGGATCGTGGTACCGCACGAACCAGTTCGCGCTGGAGCTAATTTTTCACCACCGCGTTTTGACCCACAAATGCAGGACCCTCGAGCCGGAATCAGCTGCGGCGTTCTACATCCCCTTCTACGCTGGACTCGCGGTAGGAAAACACCTATGGAATAACGACACGTGGCGGAGGGACCACCTTTGCGAGGAGATGCTCCACTGGGTCAAGGGCAGGAAGTCCTGGAAAAGATCCAACGGTAGAGATCACTTTATGTCAATTGGACGGATAACGTGGGATTTCCGTCGCCTGACCGAACCGGCCAAACGCTGGGGCTCCAGTTTCCTCAACACGGCCGAGATGCAGGCCGTGACCCGATTCATTATAGAAAGTGCCCCGAGGGACCCACGCGACGTCAGTGCGCCTTACCCCACGGGATTCCACCCCGACGATAGGGAAACCGTCCAACTGTGGCAGAAATTCGTGCGCGAGCGTAATAGATCTAACCTGTTCACCTTCATTGGGGCGGCCCGAAACTGGGTCCGGCGCGATTTTCGGGCCCTTCTGCTCGGGTACTGCAAAACCGAACCGGGTTTCTGTCGGCTGGTGGACTGCGACGCGGCCCAGTGTGCTGCCAACTCGTCTGTTGTTCTGGAAGCTCTGCTCGGGTCGGAGTTCTGCCTGCAGCCCAAAGGGGACAGTTATACCCGGCGCTCGATTTTCGATTGTATGTTGGCCGGTTCTGTGCCGGTTTTCTTCTGGAATCGGACGGCCTACGGGCAGTACCGGTGGTTCTTGCCGGGAGATCCGGAGAGCTACTCGGTTTTTATAGAGCACGAGAGGGTGAGGAGTGGGGCTGGGGTTATAAAGCGGGTTTTGACGGGGTTTAGCAAAGAGGAGATTAGGAGGAAGAGAGAGACTGTAATAGAGACAATTCCCAGGATAGTTTATGGGTTTGGGAATGCGGATTTTAAGGATGCTTTTGATACTGCTTTCGATGGAATTTTGGAGAAGATCAAGAAAGATAAAATTGGACAAGGGGATTTTGGCAGTAATGATAGTTTTCGGTTTCTCTATTGATGGATTATAAGTTTATAACATGACAATGTAAACTACTGCCCACTGTTTGCTTTTATTATTTTTGAAGATAGATTTTATATCTTAAAAGGAGAATTTACAAAATGACATTCCAAGGCTAACTAATCATACAAATGCACCATGAAGGTGGACTCTAAGTAGGACTGCACACGAGTCGAGTGGCTCGCGAGCCGCTCGCAGGCGCTCGAGTTCGAGTTTGACCGAATCTGAGTCGAGCTCGAGTGGCTCGAGTACGAACTCGAGTCGAGCTCGAGCGCATATTTTACATTGTCAAGCGACTTGTGAGCTGTTTGAAATATATGATAAATTATTAAAATACCCCTTGTATATATATATATATGTATTACAATATTAATATTTGTATTTAATGATAATTTTACAAAGTTGATTGAAAATTTTCAAACCGAATTCGAGCCGAGCTCGAGCATTTTGAATTCGAGTCGAGCTATTGTATTTTTTTATCGAGTCGAGCTCGAGCTCGAGCAACTCAAAAATAAAATCAATCCTGCTCGATAAGGCCAGTGCTCAACTCGGCTCGGCTCGTTTGCAGCCCTAACTCTAAGAGTAGCACTTAGAGAAGTGTTCTAGACGAAAAACTAACACGAACTGGAAAAAGAATCCTAGCATTCGACAATGACAACTGCACATAAAACTGGTATGCTTGAAGCTTATTCTAAACAAAAGAAAACCAGGAACTCTCGTAAGTGGAGACTAACTAACTCCCACAAGTGCAGAACAACACAATACATAAATAAAAGAAACTACAACACACACTTATACTAACAATAAAGTACTACCTCCCTTGATTCTTGGGAGCACACCACAACGTCTGTTGGGATCTATGAGGATCTCATTATGTACAAGTTATGAATTAAATATCAAACGTAAACCTATGCGCAACGGATCTAAAGATTTGACGTAGAAAACTTACGGCTTAAAATTTTCTGAATCTAATGGATTCGGGATGACCTGGATTGACACACGAGCAAGTCGGGAACACGATCAGGTCGCGGGAGGTCGTCGGTGTCGGGTCGCACGTCGTGGGGCCGCCGGATCGTGATCGAGTCATCGCGGCGGTTCGTCCGTCGACTCCGGCTGGCGGCCATCGTCGGCGATGGTCGTGGTCGGCAGGTCTCAGCTTCGGGTCGTGACTCGTCGACTCCTGTAGATGATCACGGGGTCTCAATTACCTTTGGGATATTCTACTGTATCACTCTTACACTTCTTCAACTCGTACCAGTGGAACAACGAGAAGAAGACAAAGCTCGAATGAGATCTAGAGAGACTAGAGGGGGCAGACGACTCACGTGTATTTATGATTGTCTCTACTCTTCTCATGAGCTTAATGATGTATATATAGAGCTACAGTAGGGATCTTTAGGAGAATAGGAATAGGGATTCTTAAGTAATGGACTAACTGTAGGTCAGGCCCGCTCTTCCATTACTTAAATAATATTATGGTACACTAACGTAATATTATTTCACTCTCTTTTCCTAGCCCAAATTACATTTGAGACTCCAATTATAATTACCCGATTTACCTCCCATGTTTAAGATATAATTTTCATTAATTAATTCGATTACTGACAATCAAGAATTAATTAATATATTATTTATTTCACCGAAGCTAGCGCTCGTTCATTACATTATTATTGTTGATGTCGAAAATCGTACGATCAACTGTTAAATATAAATCGAATTATTGTATGAAAATGAAGGACAAAATAAATGAAAATGGGTGTTTATTTCATATGTTTTTGGAGAGAATGCTCTCTCTTGTTGTTGGGAAGAAGATAATAAAAAATGGAGAGGAGCACCCTTTCTCTCTCTTCTCTTTTGATATATATACATGGCCTATTTTGCAAGTGGTTAATAGAATAAATAAAAAATGGTTCATTATTTGACTAATGTGAGATTAATCACCGTGGGTCCCGTTTATGACCTTTGACGGCTTCAATTGACGTCTATCTGAGGCGGCTTCTGATTGATCGGTATCGAGAACCTGTTTGTATATTTATTTATTTCGTATTTGATGGGTCTACTTCCAAATCTGAAGAGAACCGGTGGATTTGAGCTCAGATCTGCTTGAACCGCCTCTAAATCGTTGCTAGACCGCGAGAATACCTGCAAAAACTCAACGCCGGAGGTGTTTCCGGCGTAGAGCCTCCGACGCTCAAGTCAGTATGAGAGTGATGAAGGGATGCTGCGCAGCAGCTATGAGGGGAGTGTGGAATGAATGAGAGTTAGAGTTTAGGGTTATCTCATCTCCTTTATATAGGAGTGAATACTTACCTGAAGTACCCGAAATGCCCAAGTAGGTGGACTTAAACGGGCCAAAATGCCCCGGTCGATTCGTCTCCCCTCCCTGCTGAGTCATTTCAAGGTTCCTTCTCATCCATTAATGGTCAAGAGGTTTCAAGAAATATACCAAGTGTATAGAGTCGTCGGAATGCCTCTCGTCTCGAGGTACAAGGAGTCGACCTCAAGTATAAACGAGTCGACCCAGGATCTCTTGGTTATTCGGAGGCTACGCTCTTGTTGGTTTTCTCAGATAGATGTCGACTTTCGGGAAGTCGACTGAACAATGTCGACTTCCAAGAGTCGACTTGTAGGGCATCTGCCACTTCTCGTCATCGACCTTGTTAAGAGTCGACCTGGAGGAATCGACTTCAACATGTCGACGGGTCCGTCGTCGATATGTCAAATCGGGTTGAGTCATTATCCGGTCGAGTAGGGAGCCTTTAGGCCGATATATCTTTATATGGCTATATCATCNCCCCCCCCCCAAAAAAAATTACTCTAAGCAGTCGACTGCTTAAGAGTAAATCTAGTGAGGTATGGTTGTGTCGTCTTCCTGCCATACTTGCTCGTACTTGCCTCTTCTATAACTCGTCTCGTCAGTTGATTGAGAAACACCTCAACCCCTTATGATTGCTTTTTCGGATAAGTCTGACACTCTGACAGACCCTTTTTGAATTTCAAATTTCGAAAATTCTGAAGCGACGCGCGTCACCTCAACCGCCGACTCTTCGTATTGCGCGCCTCATCAGGATCATTAGTTCTTCTGCTGATCCAACGATCAGTGTCTATCATCTCATGTATAAATATACTTCGGGTTTTCCTCAGAACACTTTTTACGATCTCAAACTCTCTAATCTCCAACTGCTTTCAACTCTCCGGCAATCTTCGCTCTTCGGCATCACCGGCGCTCTCATTTTCCGACAACCTCCAGCTTTTTCCGAATTCAACCGATCCAGACATCATGTGTAAGTTCTACTACTTCCTATTACCTTTCATATTTTTGTTGTTTTTTCCTTTCTTTGATTTTTCTGGCCTTTTTTGAACCTGAAGTTCATGTGTGTCCTTCATGTTCTTCGAAGATTTTTTATGGATTTCGTGTTGGATCTTTAACTGTGCATGTTTTGCTTAGATTTGTTGTTTTTTGCTTTGTTGATTGTCGACTTCTGGGATGGAGTCGACTTTTCATCCTTCGCTAAGTATATCCCTGTCGACCTAGTGGCCTTCTCTTTTCTTTCTCTACCCCTTCTTTTGTTATTCTCTTAATCGACTCATGTCGACTTGCTTGTCTATCTCTTGTCAAATCGACTGAGTAATGACTTGTGGGGCTTCCTTATTTCCTTTTGATATTGACAGAAGTCGAGTCGTCTTACGATGACTTTTGGAAGTCGACTCTGCTTGTTGTGTTCAGTGTATTATCCCATAACTTTGCTAATTCCAACCTTCTATTTTTCTTCTCTTTAGCTTCCGACTCGTCTTCTCTCTCTGGCTCCCTTGGTCATCAAATCAATGAGTATACTCACCAAGTCAATGAGTGTTCAAGCTCTGACTCTGTTCAAGTGACCAGCATTAAGATGGTCTTTCCACCTCCCAACTCTCCTTCTCGCCCCTCTGCTTCCGTCGCTGATTGGAACGAATACGACCAAGCGCTCTTGGCGGGCGGTTTGGTCGACATCTCGAATAGTACTTCTCGAGGAGGCTCTCCTCATCTCAATCTGATCCCTCGAGGTATACCTCTTAGATTCTTAGACATCCCCGTATATAGAATGAGTCATGTGCCTGTACCATTAATTGTTCCCCCTTCTCGACTCTCAAAATACTGTTTCGATAGCTTGCCCCTTGGTTAGGTTAGCTGTTCTAAATCCTTTTTCTTATGCCTCTGCAGCCAAGGTCGAGGGCTTCAGACAATTCAGTGGGCTTCCCTCGGACTGGGAATTGGTCGCCCCTGGTCCCGACAGTGATTTCGCCCATCCCCCTTCCGGCTGCCATACATTTTTCGTGGACAAAGTCGTCTTTGGTCTTCGTTTCCCTATTCAAGACGAGCTCTTACTAATAAGCAACTTGTACAATGTACCAATAAATCAATTCTCTCCTAACGCCATTCGCATCATGATAGCCTTTATAGTCGTCTCTCGCATAGTGCTTAAATTCTTTTCACCCGAGTTTTTCTTTTATTGTTATGGCTATAGACTTTCCAAAGGCGCCCATTGCTTGGGTCGTCGTGTCGGCGTCACTTTCCTCGATGACCTTTGGTCGAACGTAACTGAATGGAAGTCGAAGTACTTTTTCATTCGACCTGCTCCCGGCATGTACCCTTATATAAATACCTGGAGAACTTCTAAAGTAAAACAAAATAAACGGCCTCGCTCTGACGAGTTCGCCATGCTGTTGGCTGAGCTAAATAAGCACACTTACAGTGCTCGTCAATTGATCAAGGACCGCAAATTGGTCAATCATGCTCGCATCGTCATTTACGAGGATCTTCCTCGTCTCGATGACCCTCGTAAGCTTTTATTATTTCTT